AGTTAGCCATCAATGTGAGAGCCCGCGAATGTTCGACACGCGAAGCAGAGATTTTTGCGCCTGAAACTCGCGCTCGCGCGCTTTTTACGCCTTGCGACATTTTTATACGCCCGTGTGCTTTTTCTCTGAAAAAACCGAACCGTTTCTCACTAGACATGAATACGAGACCCATGCAGAAAAATTTAAATTCCGTCAGCCTCCACGCCGAGGGACGGGAAATTAAGTTTCGCGCATTTCTGCATCAGCTTTATTACATCGGGACGCGAAAATGCATACGGTATTGTCGGCGGAATGTCGGAATGCCCTGGGGCGCGCCGCCTGTATTTTCTTCTCCTTCGAATCGGGCGCCAGTTTTCGGCCTTCGATTTTTCGATTTGCCAGTCGACGCGGGCACTTTATTACGTGTGTGCGGTGTATCGTTTCGGGCAATCGCTTAATTTCGCGGTCCCGCGTGTTACTGCGCACACCTGTTGACGTTGAGCTGATTTCCGGTGTTCACAGCTATTTTTGTAATTTTACAACGATTACATCGCGAACGTGTCTCTAATCGCCAAGACAGCACATATTCGAGAAATTACCTCTGGATTCCCGTTAAACGTTCGATGATATGCACGGTCATACGTAGCTGTGTACGATCGGGATACATGTAGGTACACCTATTGATATTATCGCCATCACTGCAAAAACGAGCACTCGATAATCTCAGTTTCATGATGCGTTACGATCGCAACTCGCGCCGTTAAATGACTTGCTCTTCGTAAATCGGAGAACTTTGTGCAGTGACCCGCGCGTTTGTATACACACGTGGTGTCGTGTGACCAAAGGCCTTGAGACTGAACAAACAAGACGAAAACAGATTGCCCATAGGAAATTTAATTACCAACCTCTCTTCGACGTATTTTCTCGTCACACTCAAATAGCAGACACAAAAGGCCTGTTCTTTATTACTGCACTACTGAACTAGTGCAATAAGTTAAAATGAAACAAATAGATTACCTCTCATTCTAACTCATTGCACCAGTGTGCACTAGTTCAGGAGTGCAGCAATAAAAAACAGACCCAAAAGGTTTGTTAACGCTCGTGCCAATTAATATCGTTTCATCAGAATTAATAATTTCAAGGATTAACATCAAAGTAATAAAGTATTTACACGAAAACAGCAACTCGCGGAACAATTTATAATTATACAAAATATATCGGTGAGATGAAATTGAGAAAGTAATAATAAGATATTCATAATAAAGCATTTATCTAATATCATAAATAATAGAATTTGTCCGTAGGTAGACAAATTTATGCTTCAGCTTTTTATACTTACAATTGGAAAGAAGTGACGAAGTTTTCTGAATTAATAAAAGTCTACATCTGCGGATAGAAAAGTAAAAAGAAATGTCTGTCGCAGTTTAAGCAATCTGAGATATCACAGAAATTACAGATTGCTCGAATAGCTGCGAGACGTTTCTTCCTTCTTTCATTTATAGATAGATATAAAATTCTATTGGGATCTAGAAATTATTGTCACCTCTGAATATCATTTTTCTTGTCGAATATCATATTTTGAGCATAAAAGGTTAAAGGACTATTAAGAGATTAACAATAAATATAATATATACTTCCGAATGTTGTGCCAATTAGTTTAAAAAATTGTTGGCCAATAATCGTTTTGATATTTCTGTTTCTTTTTATTGTCTAATTACGCCATAGATTTGCGATCTACGCGGACGACTTATCCGACAAGAAGGAAAAGCTTCCGACGCCGAGGTGTTCGACGCATCTTTTATTTATTTATGCTAACCAAGTCAACGCGGGAACTCGTTTTGTATATGTGTATAGACTTCAAGTTCACGATTTTAAAATTTTATATCAGGTACATCCTGGTACACACGCTCTCCATATTGATATGTATGGGGCGATGCACTTTACTCTCTTTGGTCGAAACGCTTTTCATTTCCTGCTGAGGATACAACCGATATAAAAAAGCTCTCCGTACGATTCCCGAGAAAGTAGCAGTTTCTTTATTATTTTATCAGCTCGTTTCGCGTTTTCGTATTCCTTTGCATCTACATTTGAGCTCTTTATACAGCTCTCAGCGATTGATCACAGAAATTGTTAAGAAAATCGGAATACACGGAATATTTAACATTATTCGTAATTGACTGTCACCAATTCTTAGTTGTCAATTAACTTATCTGCTTTTATCGTACAAAGGTAACTTCAATAGACAAGTATTCGCTGGTCCCCGTGTTTATTTTATTATATATTATTCTTGCTACTTTTCGTTTTACACGCAATATCTGCGCTCTATTCGATTCTTCACTCGAGAGACGTATATGTCAAACTTTGCTGTCGCGAAATTTCATAACCGCAGACCGTTATTTCACGTGTCGGCGTGACGGACGGCACCAAATCTCAGGTGATCTCCGTAGATATTCGCCAGCAGTTGATATAGAAAGCATCTTCGTATTCGCGGTTACTTAATCTCTCGCCGATCGTAATCTTTTAACCGCTCCCAAACTCGTTTCGTCTCTGCCCATTTAATTTTGACTTTTACACCATTTGCCTCGCCTTAACGTGAGATTTTTATTCCGCCACGGTGTAACGCTCGCTTCCTCGTCGCTTCTCCCTCGTCCGCCTACCGGAACGTAATAAATCCCAGCCATCCTGCACTCTACTCTCTCACTCAACGCGCACCCTCGACTCTCCCTTTCTCTTTCTTCCTTATTCTCTCCTCAAGTTCCTAATTTACCCTCGTTTGACTTCTATCTTTTTTGCATTACATGCACCCTCCTTGAAATTATGATAACCGGGAAGGAACGGGCGGAATGTAATTAGAAACAGCGTCATTTTTTAACCGTTTCTTACATTTCTTGCTCTTAAAACGAGCTTAACCATTATCTTTTCATTCTTGTTAGGGTACACACCCAGATTGGGGACTAAACCGAGAAAAGAACAGATCATCGAAAAAAAAGACTGGCATAAACGAGATGGGGAACGGCCATTTGGAAATTACAGGAGCTATCAAATGCTTGGGTATAGAACGGTAGAGGAAACTTTAGCGCGGAGACGGGCTCAGCTTGTAGCTAACTACACTATACATACGTCAGTGATTCTCAAAGTGCTATTTGCGACCTCCTAGCAACTTGAATTCTCCAGCCAGACTTCTCGTGAACAAAACGAAAAACAGGAAAGCTTCTCAGGAAAAACCCAGAAGGCATCGCATTATTTAATTTTTAATAACAAAGAGCATTAATGCATGCTGTATCTTACGGCGTTTAACACGTTTATTAAATTTTTAGTAATGCTTTCTAGTGAGTTCCGTAAGGTGGTTTATTTTCTTTCTGTTCCTTTTATCCCTGTGCATGCAGATTAACTTTTTGCGATGAAGAAAAAAAACGCGATATATGTATCTAAACGAAAGAGAATGAGAGATGCTCATCACATGATTCTACGCCAAGTCTAGACTGTTAGGAAACACAATCGTTTCTCAGACGCCGTTTCCGCAGAATTATGTACGCGTATTCTTGTTACGCGTTTGTTTTTAAAGCGTATTATTCCGAGACACGTTATAAAACTTGCGCTTTATCGCGCGCCAAATTATGCGCAGTCGTGAAAGCCTTAAATAAATTTACGTATCTCGCAGCGACGGAGTCGAGATATTAAAATTTGAGAACCTCTGTGAGTTATACATCTACGTCTGCAACGTACGCATCTTCGGCTGTTATGCTCTTCGTGATAGACCCATTGAACTATATATACCTTAGCCAGAGGGGCCTAACTAATGACGACGATCTTGAACCCGACTGTTAAAGACGGATCGCGAGGAAAGCGAAACTATCGTCTACAAGCTTGATTGGTGTTCTATATCAAGCCTGAGTTTGTAATTCGTACGTGAAATGTCATGCTATCAGTTTGCAAACGTCGCTTTTGATATCGCTTCGAAATACCGTATGTTTTATTGGTCCCGGTAATTTGTCTGATTTGCGGTAAAATTGATTGGCATCAAGCACGCTGTTATTAACTTATAATTTCAATAGCGATGTTTTATTTGCGATATGATAACCGCGCAACTCGGTGAAAACTATCCTTTCCTATTGCAATTCTATCCAAGTCGGGTTATTTCGCGTTATAATTACAAATGACGGTGATGCGAAGTTGTACTTTGCTGTATCTATTCGCGTTTATTTCTTTTTCGGACTACATTTTCACGAGAAACTTTTAATAATTTTTAATAATTCTTATAAATAGTTACTTCATTTTTTTCATTAGAAATTGTAATGTAATTCACTCTCGACTAATTAAGATAATAACTTTTACATTTTATCAATTGATAAAATGTAAAATATTAATTACCGCAATAGCAAAATGTAAGGAGAAAAAGTTGTTATCGTATAAAGTATAAGGGTAGAAAATTCATCTCGTGTTAAATCCTAATTTATCATTAAATTTCAATAATATAACTGAATAATGTCAGTAATATGAAAGCCAGTTCAATTTCGATAAATCGAATTTCAACAAATCTAGCAGATTAGAGAACGATAACATCTCTGCGTTTTGTATATATTTGTTTCCGTAACAGAAATGTACGCATATTTGTAATGCATAATTCAGCCAACAGATGTTTCGACGTGTCAAACTCGCTCTGTACAACACTTTAAAAATATATATATATATACATAATATGTAACGCAATTGGATTTTCATCACAGTTTTAACGCTTAAGGGATTTTTATGAGCTAGACCGATTCTCGCGAATGGCCTTTCACAGTCTTTGTGGCTTTCTCGAAGCACGTGCTTAAAATACAGCGCGGTAGTTAGCATCCTTAGGAGCGAGTAAAAAAAAGGAAGTCATCGCCGAGAGAAAGAGAGGGAGGGGGTGGAAAGAGGATGTTTATCCTTTAAAGCGGATATAGCGAAGGGACAGGCACGCGTACACGGGGATGAGACCGATGTGCGTTCGTGCGCTCGAAAGCGCAGCAGCTCGCGTAAGTGAAAGCACTCACCCTCTTGCCTCAGCAGCATCACGAGGAGCAGCAACATAAAATCCATCGCTCGGCGGCGCTCGCGCACCCTCCGGTCCACGATTCGTAATTTTCACCCAGTTTCCTCGGCGACTGGCGGCGGTCTTGCCAACAATTCTCTTCTTCCTAACGTCACAGAAATGTCGGCGTAATAGTAATGGGGGGGGGGGGGGAAACGAAAGCGTTTATTCCCACAGGCAGCGTAGATACGGGAGATGTGCGGCGATCGACACCTTCCGTTCGATTTACGTCAAAAACGATTAATTTGATACAATATGAAATCATTAATCTCGTTAACGTTCAAAATCGACCCGGTTTTTGGTGAAAATTTTAAAGCGCATTCTCATGTCGATTACTTGAAATTTGACGAAATTGATTATAGAATCTATCGAGAGCTTAATTGAGCATTTTCAATAAGTGGATCAACGTGGATAATTACGTAATAAAAAGTTAATGATCATCGCTCTTAATTTTCTGACAGTTATTAATTACACGGTCATTATTTTCTAATCTCATAATAACTATTTAATCCTATTTTCATAGATAATGAAGCTTATTTGGATAATAACCGTGTTGTCCCATTTATACGAAACTGCCAACTACCCTATTTGAATTTAATCACCATCCGCGCGCGTTAGTTGGTTCGGAGGCGCGTTCACGGCACGGTTTGTTCAAGCGAGAAAGAATTGCGCATGGACATCCATAGCGTTAGAGACAATTGCAGAATTGATAGCGAAAAAGGAAAAAAGTGGAAAAAAGTGACGAACGCGCCAGGCACGCGCGAGAATACTCATCGCACCGGTCTTAATTAGCGGCAAGCTTCTTCGTTATTCCACTGTCAATTAAATTTAATGATTGCCGCGGGTTATTGTGTTTTCATTGTACGTCTAACCCGAGGAAGAAACGTATACGCAGTTAAGAGGCGACCCCTTTATCCCGCATATATTATATTTACTCGCGACTTATATTTACTCGCTCGTCGTGGCTCTTTATCCGAGGGGATACTTGGATTGGTTGTCAGTTGAAAACGAGGCATCTGAAGGGATCCATCTCGATATCCGCGGATTGACATTATACCCGCGCCCATTCATCCTCGCGCATTCTTGTGGGAACTCAACATCCGCGGCATTTTTCTTTTTACACCGTCAGTTAGAAATTTTTCGCGACTCAAAGTTTTCTTTCTCTTTCTATCCTCACTCTTTACTTTGCCAAGGTAAGGTGCTAAAAGCGCCTCGCTCCGTAGCGAGTCGAGTGCTCTTCATCTTCGAAGCTTTCGGTCGAGAAATTCCGGTAATTCCACGTGGCCCGCTGCTTAACTGGATTTCCCCGTCGCGAGGAGTCGTAAGTCAAAGTGCAACGCCTTTTAATTCGCATTTGCCAAGAAAACGGCGTGCTTCTCAACGACCGACCACCGTAAGATGGAACCGAATTAATGAGCGAGCATAAAAATTACTGAGGCGCATGAATAAGGCAGACGGCGCCGCGACACCCAAAAATAGAGACGACCGAGCGATTCTGCGTTTCTCTCCACCCACATTCCTCTCGAAATGAGCGAGTTAATTTCATTAATAATTACCAGCTGTCAAGACAACTGGAAGACCGCGGCAGTACCGAACGCGGCTCAATCCGTGCGGCGTAGTACCCCCGAATGAATTCATAACGAATTTCAGGGATAATCCTGGGGCCGAGCGGACGGGAAATCTCGGGCGAGCTCTTGTCTGAATAGCCCGAATCAGTCGAGAATACTCGGCGATTTCACGGGGGGTTTCCGGGGGTGGGGGGGGGGGGAGGGAGGAGAAGGAGGAGGAGGCGGCGAGTGGAGAACGGGAGGAGAAGAAAAGAGACGAAACTCGCCGCGCAACTGCTCTTACGGACAGTGGATGCGGATTTTAAATGCAACTTGTTGCGAGTTTGCGTCGCAAGTCCCGGGCGTCGTCCGGCGTCGAGACGTCGCGTCGGCCGCGCGCGCGACAGAGCAACGCTCTTAGGAACTTGCCCATACGACGTATACATGCTTCGCCAATCGATCGTCGCGCGGCTAGAGAGATAGATAGGTGGAGTATGGGTACAGAGATGACGCATGGATTGCACAACGGTCGCTGCTAATGAGCGTGGAGATCGAACGGGGATGTTGCTGTTTATCGAGCGAGGCTGACCCGATGCCTAACTTCGAAATAGTGATTTGTGTTTATAATTGGGATGTATCTTGCGAGGATTCGGTTTACTCGCAGTATCGCCCGTTCATCCGTACACACGTGCAACGCGCATCGGAAATCGACCGCTTTTCTTCGGTACCCCGGCACAACATCCGAGTATTTAATTCCAAGTTACTTTATACACATATTTGATCTCACCGGTTCAACATCGTCGGGCAGTCGGAGATTAACGATAATACAATTTCCGTGCCACATGTACCTACGTTACATGTGCATTTGTCTTCCTACATCCGTTGCAAGAAGCTAAAACACTCAATTTGACCTACTGTCTCGCCGTTCCTTTTTTCTATAGAATAAAATATTTCCCGAATAGACATAGATAGTAGATACGGTGCGCGATTTCCGATATATGTGTACCTTCATTTCTCTCCGCGGCCCGTATCATCGATCGGAGGTACCGAGTTGTAGAAGCAAGCTGGAATGCCGAAACGAAAAGTTCGACGACGCCTAAACACGATTACCAAGTTCCACGCGGCACACAATATCGATAGAGGGCCGCGAGCGAGAGGCGAGAAATATTGTTTCACGGCGCGGTTCGCGCGTACTACGATACCTTCGCACGTGATTTATCTCGAAGCCCACGACGGCAGCGCCGCCGCATTCGTAAATGATTCCAAGTTTGAGAGCTCGAGAGGTCTGCCGGAACTCGCAGTTGTAGGGTCGCTGTATGCTTTATTTATTCGGCAGGACTATCTCGTTCCCTTTTTTTTCCCCACCGTACATCCACGTGCGCGCAGGCGGCCGCGCGAAACACAGTTCCACGCGCGGCTCGCTCGACGGCCCGATCGTGTGTGGCCTATGGGGAATCGATTTGTCAGCGAATATTCCCCCTTCGGGTACGTCCGAATAAAGGGGCGGCGTGCCTACCCACTCCTGACTTATTCACACACCACGGTACTTTTTTTTATTGTATCTATATCGACTCTGCCTTCACGAGGAAATTCTTCCGACGGCGATATTATGATATGAATAAACGAAGAGGATTTTATCGCCCAAGACCATCCTCTTTGCCATCATGCGATGAAAGTTAAGAACCTAGTCCTAGGGGGAAATATTTGATCGATACTGTAAATATCACCCTGGACAAGATTGGTCGGTCCCCTCTCGACTCGCGGCTGAATGTTAATTCTTAAGATCGTATCAATTCGTGTTCACGAGAGCGCTCGGTTTATTTCCTACCGTCAAAGAGAAGTTCCTCTTCTAGGCCTGAGACTTTTCTAACGCGCGGATTTATACGCGGAGAGACCGGCTAAGGCAAAAATAACTAAAATTAAAATGTTGCCGTATAAATAGTAGGGGCATCTACCTTGTTTTGTGTTGCAACATTCTCTAAGATTGCCGTGGAAAAGGCATATCGGACCAGTTTCACAAACATCGGTTAACTGCTAACTAGGGTTCAGTCGACTCCCTATCTTTTTCCATCTTGTTATTTAAGAAGAGACAGAGAATCCATTAACCTTCGGTTAGCAGTTAACCGATGTTTGTGAAACTGGCCCATAGTCGTCTTCACTACTTATCATACCAATGTGGATATGACAATGACAGATACAGCTGCCCCAAATATTACTATTTATTGGGATTGTGCCAACCCTAATTAGACATGTGATAATCATATCGGTCTCTCCGTGTACTCTTCTATGTTAACAACCCATTGAGGAGTCGCATAACGTGTCCAGCACTAAGATTTTACTTTGTCAATCGGACTAACGCGGTAACTTGTCCGAATCTATTGAAATCTAACGCCGTGAATCTTTTTGCGCGCGTCCGATTCTGCCCACCGTCAATTTCGCTCACGTGCGATTTCCAGTCGCGATGCGCGGAATATTTGCCGGTATCACCGTCGCCGATTCAATCGTCGTTTCGATCTCGTCGCTATTCATAACTACCATCTACGCGACACTGTCCTCGTTTTCGAATGCGAAATTTCCAGCCTCGCCGCGCATCGCACTTATTGCTCCTTTTTCCCGTAGCTCTCGCTTTCCACCGCTCGTCCCATCGATATGCATCGGCGTGTGCACGATAAAATCGCCCGATCTCTCATACCAAATCGTGGCCAATGCGAGACGCGCACCCTCCATTTCCGCTTTCGCCCTCCTCGCCATAATCGACCGATCGTCATTGCCACCGATACCGATTCGCACGATCAGCAACGGACGTCAACGGCGCGGCGCTCGCTCTTTATTGTCTTACCATTCTGCCCGATTATACGCGATGACCCCGCATCCCTCGTGTGTTAGTCCGCGATCTCAATTTAAGCGCGGCTCTCCACAGTTTTGCCGGAGACGCGAGGGGACGGAGTTTTCGCTTCAATAATCGTGTCTCGATTCAGCGCGGCGCCCGCATTCATCGAGCGGATATTTCCTCGTTTGAATCCTTACTTAATAAATTTCAATGCTTATGCGCGAACGAGCAATCTCGGTTATACGTGTGTAACGTACGAGCGTGTGTGCGTGCGTGTTCCCGACGTGTACGAAATATTCCTCCAATATTTTATCAATTTTGCTTTCAAGACTACCCGTAAAAAAGCCCACGCAAGAATTTAATGGTCACCGAAGGAAAACTGTCGCAAGTTTATTACGGTATTCAGTACGTTTTCTTAATCGCGAATGCAAATCTCCAGTGCGATAAATCCCCGTCTCATCGATGACCAACCAAATAACTGACCTGCGAGAAATGAGCGATAGGTTCTACGTCGGTCAAGTAAAGCAAGTTGCATAATTTTCTAGACGAAGGATACCTCGCGTCGCACGTATCCTGATGCGATAGACGTGTTTAGGCCACCGACCGATTGAAAATTTACAAAACCACATTTATTTCGAATCGAATTTATCGATTTGTGAGCTAATTCAAGCATACTGCGGCATAATTCACACGATTCCATATAACT